GTGATGAATGCGGTATGAATGAAGGGTGATTTGGGGTTTGATTTTGGGGAAATGGTTTTGTTTCTATTATATATATATTTTTGTAATAAATTTCATTTATTACATTTCTGCCTTTGCCTTATTCATCTCGTATTGTGACATTTTTGGTGGCAGCGGTGGGATATCAATTCTTACAGTCACATATGAGATGATATGTAGGGTTGTTTGGTTTTAATTTTCCAAATTGCCTTAGTTTAGATATACTGTAGTGGCTTTTGTTGGTTGCTCTTAGCGATCTCTCGTGGTCCTTTATATCTGGTGCTGGGTCTGCAGATGTGCTGAGGTGAACGAGTCCCTTTGTTACAACTACCCTTTGATAGATTGTACATTTCTACTTGTAGATACTGTGCCTTAGGTTTCTTTATCATGGACTTTGCGGCTCTTTGTGCTCTGGGGAAAGAGTTGGATTATACTGGGAGAACTTACAGCAGTTTGTTAGGGATCAGGTAGAGATAGAGAGGGCTAGGGAAAGAGATAGGTTAGAAAAGGGATGAACGGGAAAGAGTACGTGAGATGAAAAAGTTGGAGATTGAGAGCCTTAGGTTAGAGAAGGAGGATAAGGAGAAGGAAAGTAGTATAGAGTTACAGAAGTTGAAGTTACAGAGGGAGGATAGAGAGAAGGAAAGGAATCTGGAGTTAGAGAAGTTGAAGATAAGTATAGAGAGGGATAGGTTACAATTGGAGGCAGAGAAAACTAAACTTGGTAAGGGGTTTAAAGCAGGAGGAAGAGAAGTCGCCAGGGGTACCTAAGATGCCCAAGATGCCGCCATTTGAGGACCATAGAGATAACACCGATGCCTACTTACAAAGGTTTGAGCGTATAGCTAAGGCACAGTCATGGCCAGAGACGCAGTGGGCGACGTATCTTAGCACTTTGTTGAAGGGTAAGGCACTTGAGGTTTACTCTCGTCTTGATCCAGATGAAGTAGAAGATTACCAGGTGGTGAAACAAGCGTTACTAAAGCATTACGAGATGACTGAAGAGGGGTTCCATCAGAAGTTCAGGTCTGACAGAACGGAGACGGGTGAGACTTTCACTCAATTTATGGTCAGGATCAAGAATTACTTTGATAGATGGGTTGATCTTAGTGATAGTGCCAAGACTTTTGAGGGTGTTCGTGATTTGATGTTACGTGAACAGCTTTTACTTGGTGTCAGTCCAGGCCTTTGTATCTTTTTGAGGGAGAGGAAGCCTAAGTCTGTAGCGAGATGGCTAGTTTGGCAGAGCATTTTGTTGAGGCTCAGGACGGTGTCACTAGTAGATTTGTTAACCCTTTCAGTCGGGGTAATGATAAGCATAAGAAGGGCTCAGATGTTCAGGATAAGAGGCCACTGCAAGGGGAGAAGACGGATCCTAAGGGGTTTATACCCTTGCATGAGCGGAAGTGTTATAGTTGTGGAGAGTTTGGTCACACGTCTGCGTCATGTACTAAGGGCAAGGCTAGGCCTAATGGGAACACTGGGGCGGCTAGTGTTGTCATTGAAAGTGTTTCTGACATGTCCGAGCAGTCAGTTGTAGAAGGTGGCGAGTTAGTTTCCCAGGATGGGGTGGGGACACAGTGGTGGTGTTACAGTTGGTCCGGGTGAGGATGAAGCTGTAGTGACGTCAGGTCCAATTTGTGGTATGTGCGGCACTATGCCAGTACATGTAGGCAAGTTGTGCGGGCGTCCAGTGAATGTTTTGCGTGACTCTGGGTGTAGTGTTGTTATAGTCAAGAGGTCTTTGGTGGATGAGGATTGTTTTGTTGATGGAGAGCTTCATTACTGTACTTTGGGTGATGGAAGGGTTATCACTGTACCAGTAGCATGGGTTGCTATAGATTCACCTTTTTATAAAGGCAGAGTTAAAGCAGCTTGTTTGGAGACTCCCTTGTTTGATGTCATGTTAGGGAATATTCCTGGTGCGAGGGCTCCTGAAGATCCATATCCAGTTGAGGAGAGTGATCTTAGTGAGGTCGTTGATTCTGTTGCAGCTGTAGAGACTAGAAGGCAGAAGAAAGTCAGAGAGAAGGGAATGAAGCCGATGAAGGCATTTGAGTCGGTTGGAGTTTCGCTCAATAGGCTAGAGTTTATTGAGAAACAGAAGTGTGATCCTCAGTTAGATAAGGTCAGGAAGTTGGCTCTTTAGGGTAAGCAGAAGACGACGGCTAAGGGTGTGTGCAGGTACTACAGTGAGAATGATATGTTGTACCGGGAATATGTGGGAAGTGATGGTATAGCTGTTGTCCAGGCTGTTGTTCCTACCGAGTTGAGGTCAGAGGTCATGAAGGTATGATATGAATCTTTGATGGGAGTTCATATGGGTGTCAAGAAAACTCTAGATAGGGCCCCTTCACAATTTCATTGGCCTGGTATTCAAGGTGATGTTAGGAGGCATTGTTTGTCTTGCGATGTTGTCAGCGTACGATTCCAAAGGGGAAAGTTGGTAGGGTTCCTCTAGGAAGATGCCATTGATCTCTACTCCTTTCGAGAGAATAGCTGTGGATTTAATAGGTCCTTTGTATCCGGTGACTGACAGAGGCAATAGGTACATTCTCACGGTAGTAGATTATGCGACTAGATATACAGCGGCCAACCATTTTGCTGGACTTTCCCCTTTGCTACGAAGTGTAGATATCGCACAAGCTTATGTTAAAATGGTTAAGTGCGGAGAAGCCTACTGATTGGGATCGTTATCTACCAGCCTTACTTTTTGCATACCGGGAAGTACCTCAGGAAAGTCTAGGTTTCGCTCCATTTGAACTGTTGTATGGCAGGAAAGTGAGAGGTCCAGTTCAGGTGTTAAGAGAGTTGTGGACAAAGGATATTCCAGATCAGGACACTAGGACAACATATCAGTATGTGCTAGACTTGCAGAACAGGTTAGAGGATACCATAGAGGTAGCACATCAGTCGTTGGCTAAGGCGTCAATCAGGTACAGAAAGCATTTCAATCTCAAGGCTTAGGTTTGACACATGAAACCAGGTGATAAGGCGTTAGTCTTGTTACCCACCAATCATAACAAGCTGTTGCTTCAGTGGAGAGGGCCTTTTCTCATAGAGGAGAGTTTTGGTGTTGGTAATTATCGGGTCAGAGACTTATCACGCTAATTTGCTCAAGAAGTATGTTGACATGGAATGTACTTGTGGTACTGCTGTCTGTGATGTGAGTGTCAGTCTTTCACAGTATGTTTGCACAGGCCTGGTTGATGTTGGGGGTGGAGTTGAGGAGATGGATGCAGAAGGCGAGCTCCCTGAGATTGTTTCTCCGAGTTTGAAGGCTAAGGAAACTTACCCAGATGTAAATATTTCTCCAGATTTGTCAGATAGACAGAAGGCGGAAGTTAGGGAGTTGTTTGCAGAGTTTTCGGATGTTTTGACAGATTTGCCAGGGAGGACTAACTGTATGGAATACAAGGTCAAGTTGACTGCATCAGAGCCTGTTAGGTCACGTCCTTATCCATTACCTCATCATAAGAGAGAGACAGTTGCAGCGGAGGTGCAGTCAATGTTGGACTTAAGGGTTATTGAGCCTTCTGATTCTCCTTATGCTTCACCGATAGTGTTAGTGAAGAACCCTGATGGATCTTATAGGTTTTGTGCAGATTATCAACGGATAAATCAGATTACGTTTTTTTGATTCAGAACCAGTCACTTTGGCGGAAAGTTTGTTTGCAAGGTTTAGTAAGTGCAGGTACTTATCCAAGTTTGATATCAGTAAAGCTTACTGGCAGATTCCTATGGAGGAGGAGAGTAAGGCATATACAGCATTTGTAACTCCAGATGGGTTATATCAGTGGACAGTTATGCTGTTTGGTGTTGTCAATGCATCAATGCAGTTTTTACTAGACTGATGAGGAAGGTGCCTAGAGGGGTAGAATATGTGGATAGTTACATTGATGATGTACTGGAAGGAACTGTGGGGTGGACTGGACACATGGTAAGTCTACGTGCTGTTTTCAGTCGTTTACGTCAGTTCAACATTACACCTAGACCATCAAAGGTGATGATTGGATACCATACCATACCGTTTTTAGGACATGTTGTTGGCCAAGGTAATATTACACCTGACAGTAAGAGGTTGACCTCGATCTTGGAGTTGTCAAGACCAACAACAAAGAAACAGGTGAGGTCAATGATTGGTTTAACTGGCTATTATAGGTGGTTCATTCCACACGTTGGGGCCATTGCGGCTCCTCTGACAGATCTGACTAAAAAAGGTAAGCCAAATGTTGTTGTTTGGACTGATAGTCAGGAACAGGCGTTCCAAACTCTGAAGGGCCTTATGGCGAATTCGCCAAACTTGAAGTTACAAGATTTAGACAAGGCATTTTTGCTGAGGACAGATGCGTCTGATGTTAGCATTGGAGCAGTACTCCTACAGGAGCACGAAGGTGAGAAGTTTCCTATTATGTATGTGAGTCGGAAGCTGTTGGACGGGAAAAGGCTTATTCTACCATCGAGAAGGAGTGTTTGGCCATCGTGTGGGGTATACCGAAGTTGAGCAGGTTTCTGTACGGGAGAGAGTTTCTGCTAGAGACAGATCACCAGCCTTTGGTGTGGATGACAAAGGCTAAGTTGGCAAACGGGCGAGTTATGAGATGGGCTTTAGCTTTGCAGTCGTACAGATTCTGTATCCAGGCAGTCAGGGGTGTGGAAAATGTTGGGGCTGACCTCCTAAGCCGTTGTCCACAATAATTTGATTTTCCAGTGTCACAATTGGTGTGGGATCTTTAGTGTAATAATAATTGTTTTACAGCAATTATCCAGGATTGGGGGTAATGTCAAGATCACATGGTAGTTTGGTTTAACTGTATGACGTGTGTTACAGTGTGGTTATGATTGAACTTTATCATCAGTGAACATTCAGTCCCATTCCGTGTTTGATACACGTGGTGTACGCCCTAACGAATTAGACCCATGTACTACAGCACAACATGGTGAAACCGGTTGGTTCAAAACATCTTTCATGTATATATTCTCCTTGTTCATAATGTTGTGTATCACCTGCTTGATAACGGTGTTAGCATCTACACCGAAACGTCGCATCCACTGCAATAGTCTTTCTTTAAAACATCTTACCTGTTCATCATACCAGCTTCTGTATGCCACTCGAGGAAATCAATTTTAAATGTTGTGAGTATTTATGTCACTTATGCTTCTCTTCAACACTGATTTCAAGTCAACCCGTATTCTATTTTTTTATTACTTACCCATGTAAACTTAGGATAGTAATACAGGGGTGCAATACGGATGACGTGGTCAAATTCCCTATTGCACTCCAGATTCCGTATTGAACCCCTGCCGGTTCTACTTTCTCCAAAGCTCGGCACTTTCCGGGATTTTCCGCATCCACTAAATTTACACCTAATATGTAGGTCATGGGTTTCCCAGCTAACGAGAGGTGTGCCAATTGAATATAATAATATGATTTTTAAGTTGTATACGATTAATTTAGAAAATATGAAAATAATGTACTTATTGTTACATTAAAAGATTGAAAGAAAAAAATGTGCTTTTTTTTTTCACGTGACATACATCGTCTGCTTGTTGTCAAAATGTCGGCAACAATGACATCGATGGTACCATCGATCGAGACTTATTTGGCATGTTATTCGACGAGAATTTTGGTACGTTTGAACTGGAATACTCTATGATTACTTTGGAATCATCACCAGTGCCTCTCGTAACAAAGAACATCAAAGATTTCAAGGCATACATCGAGACCAAGAAAAGTGTCACCACGGTACAGAAAACAAACAGTCTTGTTTCTAAATTCAACCATTTTTTATTGGAAAACAATGTGAAACAAGACATGCTGACCCTCCCTCCTCCAGAACTTGATGTTCTTATTGGATCCTACATTCTTTCTCTGGAGAAGGACAATGGTGAACCCTACGAACCTGACACATTAACCTCCTACCATCGCGCCATTGATCGCCACCTTCCTGACAACGATGACCCCTCTAACATTGTGCAAGATGTGGAATTCCGTACAAGTAGAAAAGTTCTTGAAGCCATAAGGAAAGAACTAAAACAAACAGGTAAGAGGAATCGGCCAAATAAATCCGAGTCTCTGTCAGTGGAAGATGAGGAACGGTTGTGGGAAAAGGGCCAATTTGGGAGTCATTCACCTCAGTCAATTGTGAACACTTTATGGTACTATTTTACTAAAGTGTTTGGATTGCGTGGGCGGGATGAAAGCAGAAAATGAAAATGGGGTGAAGTTCAATTTAAAACAGATTCTGATGGCCAGGAGTATCTGGAGTTTTGGGAAAGGGAGACTGAAAAAGGGACGGAAATTCCACTCACCATCGCATGTTCAATCCTAAAATATTCCCCGGAAATGAAACATGTATCCTCACAGTGTACAAATCATTTGCCAAACAACGGCTGAAAAGCATGTCAGCTCCCGATGGACCATTTTACCTAGCGATCAATCACAAGAGAAAGTCTGATGGTCTATGGTTTCAAAACGGTCCTCTTGGCATCAACACACTCGGTGGCCTCGTGAAAAACATGGATTCCCGTTCCGATTTGGTCGGCAAAATCACAAATCACAGTGCTCGAAAGTCCATGTGTACACAGCTGCTTCATTCCGGTGTAGAACCGACGACAATATGTCAGTTGTCAGGGCACAAAACTGTGAACAGTCTCAATGACTATGCTGTTGCTTCCCTTCCAATGCAGAAACACATGTCTGGTATCCTTACTGGTAGTAAAGAAAACTCTCTTGTTCCTGTTGACAATTCGTCTAAAGCTGTCTCTCACCAACAACGCATGTCACTTCCAAAATGGTTTGAATGTAGGCCTAACAGCAGTCAGGTAAACCAAAACACTACTACACTACACGGAATGACATCTGGATTATTCAGCAACAGTAACGTTTACGGTGACACCTTCAATATCAATTTTAACTTGTCATCTCAAACAAACTGACTTATTTGGAACAGACCACATGCAAATTAGTGTGCGATGATATTGTATTACAAAGGACACTTTTTATATGCCCATTTTGAAATTAAACTTAGCTTCATAATAAACGATAGCTGACGTAAAAAATTATAACTTTGATATTGAAACTATTAAGGATGTAGCTACCATGAAGTCTCACTATCATTATAAAAGGAAGAGATAGGAGGGGTCGTCTCAAAAGCAAAACCAGGACGGGTGTCGCAGACGGTGATTGGGATCGGGCTGGGGATAGAGATATCAGCTAAGATATGATAATCCTTTAGGGGAATTAAGCTGGGAAAGTAAACGGCATGTCATAACAATTTACAAATAACATCCAGTCCTGTCGATCTTCGGGTGGTCATGCCACCTATATATTTTGCGACATTTAATACGATAGCTGATTTAATCTTTTCTATGGGTATCATACTCTTTTACACATCTCAACATAAACTTTATGAAAGAAAGACACGTAATCAATAGATGAAACATATTCAACACACATGAAAAGTATAACATCTTATTTGAGATGACCCCTTGTGCCTGTAGGCAGCACATGCATTTCAGACACCCACATCTTAGACACTAAAGATGGAGATTAATTAAAACAACACCCGAGGCTGAGCGACCTAGTTGCCATCTTTAGTCTGATCTATTGTTTTCAGCAGCTATTCCTATTTTTTCTAAGCTTTGACATGCTTTTTCTGGATATCCAATCATGCATCCCACTGAACGCCCTGTTAGTCCGCCCTGTAAATTTTAGGGATATAGAGTAACAGCCTAAAAACAGTCATTTTCTATTTCCGACAGTTCTTTAGGTTTGTCAGCGCCCAACCATTTTGCTGGTCCTTCCCCTTTGGTACGAAGTGTAGATATCGCACAAGATCATCTTTACCTGTCCTGACAGGTGATACTTTGTCGCGGGTGTGGACAAAGGATATTCCAGATCAGGACACTAGGACAACATATCAGTATGTGCTAGACTTGCAAAACAGGTTAGAGGATACCATAGAGGTAGCACATCAGTCGTTGGCTAAGGCGTCAATGAGGTACAGAAAGCATTTCAATCTCAAGGCTAAGGTTTGACACATGAAACCAGGTGATAAGGCGTTAGTCTTGTTACCCACCAATCATAACAAGCTGTTGCTTCAGTGGAGAGGGCCTTTTGTCATAGAGGAGAGTTTTGGTGTTGGTAATTATCGGGTCAGAGTTGGGGATAAGTTGAAGACTTATCACGCTAATTTGCTCAAGAAGTATGTTGACAGGGAATCTACTTGTAGTACTGCTATCTGTGATGTGAGTGTCAGTCTTTCACAGTATGTTTGCACAGGCCTGGTTGATGTTGTATGATCAGTAAAGCTTACTGGCAGATTCCTATGGAGGAGGAGAGTAAGGCATATACAGCATTTGTAACTCTAGATGGGCTATATCAGTGGACAGTTATGCTGTTTGGTGTTGTCAATGCATCTGCAGTTTTTACTAGACTGATGAGGAAGGTGCCTAGAGGGGTAGAATATGTGGATAGTTACATTGATGATGTACTGGAAGGAACTGTGGGGTGGACTGGACACATGGTAAGTCTACGTGCTGTTTTCAGTCGTTTACGTCAGTTCAACATTACACCTAGACCATCAAAGGTGATGATTGGATACCATACCATACCGTTTTTAGGACATGTTGTTGGCCAAGGTAATATTACACCTGACAGTAAGAGGTTGACCTCGATCTTGGAGTTGTCCAAGACCAACAACAAAGAAACGGAATTGAGGTCAATGATTGGTTTAACTGGCTATTATAGGTGGTTCATTCCACACGTTGGGGCCATTGCGGCTCCTCTGACAGATCTGACTAAAAAGGTAAGCCAAATGTTGTTGTTTGGACTGATAGTCAGGAACAGGCGTTCCAAACTCTGAAGGGCCTTATGGCGAATTCATAAACTTGAAGTTACAAGATTTAGACAAGGCATTTTTGCTGAGGGCAGATGCGTCTGATGTTAGCATTGGAGCAGTGCTCCTACACAGGGCACGAAGGTGAGAAGTTTCCTATTATGTATGTGAGTCGGAAGCTGTTGGACGGGAAAAGGCTTATTCTACCATCGAGAAGGAGTGTTTGGCGATCATGTGGGGTATACAGAAGTTGAGCAGGTTTCTGTACGGGAGAGTTTCTGCTAGAGACAGATCACCAGCCTTTGGTGTGGATGACAAAGGCTAAGTTGGCAAACGGGCGAGTTATGAGATGGGCTTTAGCTTTGCAGTCGTACAGATTCTGTATCCAGGCAGTCAGGGGTGTGGAGAATGTTGGGGCTGACCTCCTAAGCCGTTGTCCACAATAATTTGATTTTCCAGTGTCAAAATTTGTACGGGATCTTTAGTGTAATAATAATTGTTTTACAGCAATTATCCAGGATTGAGGGTAATGCCAAGATCACATGGTAGTTTGGTTTAACTGTATGACGTGTGTTACAGTGTGGTTATGATTGAACTTTATCATCAGTGAACATTCAGTCCCATTCCGTGTTTGATACACGTGGTGTACGCTCTGTACAATGTAAAATAGCTGTATTATACAAATGTATTGTTCCATTGGGTTAAGGGTTTTTTTTGTGGTGTGTAAAGGGTATGTATAGGAGTGAATTGTGTGCTATTATTATGTTTGGTGATGAATGCGGTGTGAATGAAGGGTGATTTGGGGTTTGATTTTGGGGAAATGCTTTTTTTGTTTCCATAATATATATAATTTTTGTAACATATTTCATTTATTCATCTCGTATTGTGACAATCACCCGTATTCTAATTTTGTATGAAGAAAGAACTAATTACGGAAAGGGGCGAATGGTGACGAATGTAAACGTTAGACCCATGTACTACAGTACAACATGGTGAAACCGGTTGGCTCAAACATCTTTCGTGTATATATTCTCCTTGTTCATAATGTTGTGTATCACCTGCTTGATAACGGTGTTAGCATCTACACCGAAACGTGGCATCCACTGCAATAGTCTTTCTTTAAAACATCTTACCTGTTCATCATACCAGCTTCTGTATGCCACTCGAGGAAATCAATTTTAAATGTTGTGAGTATTTATGTCACTTATCCTTCTCTTCAACGCTGATTTCAAGTCAACCCGTATTATATTTTTTTATTACTTACCCATGTAAACTTAGAATAGTAGTACAGGGGTGCAATACGGATGACGTGGTCAAATTCCGTACTGCACCCCAGATTCCGTATTGAACCCCTGCTGGTTCTACTTTCTCCAAAGCTCGGCACTTTCCGGGATTTTCCGCATCCACTAAATTTACACCTAATATGTAAGTCATGGGTTTCCCAGCTAACGGGAGGTGTGTCAATTGAATATAATAATATGATTTTAAAGTTGTATACGATTAATTTAGAAAATATGAAAGTAATGTACTTATTGTTACATTAAAAGATTGAAAGAAAACAATGTGCTTTTCTTTTCACCTGACATACATCGTCTGCTTGTTGTCAAAATGTCGGCAACAATGACATCGATGGTACCATCGATCGAGACTTATTTGATATGTTATGAACTGGAATACTCTATGATTACTTTGGAATAATCACCAGTGCCTCTCGTAACAAAGAACATCAAAGATTTCAAGGCATACATCGAGACCAAGAAAAGTGTCACCACGGTACAGACAACAAACAGTCTTGTTTCTAAATTCAACCATTTTTTATTGGAAAACAATACATGCTGACCCTCCCTCCTCCAGAACTTGATGTTGTTATTGGATCCTACATTCTTTCTCTGGAGAAGGACAATGGTGAACCCTACGAACCTGACACATAAACCTCCTACCATCGAGTCATTGATCGCCACCTTCATGACAACGATGACCCTTCTAACATTGTGCAAGATGCGGAAGTCCGTACTAGTAGAAAAGTTCTTGAAGCCATAAGGAAAGAACTAAAACAACAAGGTAAGGGGAATCGGCCAAATATATCCGAGTCTCTGTCAGTGGAAGATGTGGAACGGTTGTGGGAAATGGGCCAATTTGGGAGTCATTCACCTCAGTCAATTGTGAACACTTTATGGTACTATTTCACTAAAGTGTTTGCATTCCCTGTGCGGGATGAAAGCAGAAAATGAAAACAGATTCTGATGGCCAGGAGTATCTGGAGTTTTGGGAAAGGGAGACTGAAACAAGGGACGGAAATTCCACTCAACGTCGCATGTTCAATCCTAAAATATTCCCCGGAAATGAAACATGTATCCTCACAGTGTACAAATCATTTGCCAAACAACGGCCGAAAAGCATGTTAGCTCCCGATGGACCATTTTACCTAGCGATCAATCACAAGAGAAAGTCTGATGGTCTGTGGTTTCAAAACGGTCCTCTTGGCATCAACGCACTCGGTGGCCTTGTGAAAAACATGGATTCCCGTTTCGATTTGGTCGGCAAAATCACAGTCACACTTCTCGAAAGTCCATGTGTACACAGCTGCTTCATTCCGGTGTAGAACCGAGGACAATATGTTAGTTGTCAGGGCACAAAACTGTGAACAGTCTCAATGACCTATGCTGTTGCTTCCCTTCCAATGCAGAAACACATATCTGGTATCCTTACTGGTAGTAAAGAAAACTCTCTTGTTCCTGTTGACAATTCGTCTAAAACTGTCTCTCACCAACAACGCATGTCACTTCCAAAATGGTTTGAATGTAGGCCTAACAGCAGTCAGGTAAACCAAAACACTACTACACTACACGGAATGACATCTGGATTATTCAGCAACAGTAACGTTTACGGTGACACCTTCAATATCAATTTTAACTTGTCATCTCAAACAAACTGACTTATTTGGAACAGACCACATGCAAATTAGTGTGCGATGATATTGTAATACAAAGGACACTTTTTATATGCCCATTTTGAAATTAAACTTAGCTTCATAATAAACGATAGCTGACGTAAAAAATTATAACTTTGATATTGAAACTATTAAGGATGTAGCTACCATGAAGTCTCACTATCATTATAAAAAGGAAGAGATAGGAGGGGTCGTCTCAAAAGCAAAACCAGGACGGGTGTCGCAGACGGTGATTGGGATCGGGCTGGGGGATAGAGATATCAGCTAAGATATGATAATCCTTTAGGGGAATTAAGCTGGGAAAGTAAACGGCATGTCATAACAATTTACAAATAACATCCAGTCCTGTCGATCTTCGGGTGGTCATGCCACCTATATATTTTGCGACATTTAATACGATAGCTGATTTAATCTTTTCTATGGGTATCATACTCTTTTACACATCTCAACATAAACTTTATGAAAGAAAGACACGTAATCAATAGATGAAACATATTCAACACACATGAAAAAGTATAAAATCTTCTTTGAGATGACCCCTTGTGCCTGTAGGCAGCACATGCATTTCATGTTATCCCAAACTTAGACACCCATATCTTAGCCACCCACATCTTAGACACTAAAGATGGAGATTAATTAAAACAACACCCGAGGCTGAGCGACCTAATTGCCATCTTTAGTCTGATCTATTGTTTTCAGCAGCTGTTCCTATTTTTGTGTTGACATGCTTTTTCTGGATATCCAATTATGCATCCCACTGAACGCCCTGTTAGGCCGATGTGGGTTATTTCCACATATGCTATTTGCAATTGTGTAAATTTTAGGGATATTGAGTAGCAGTCTAAAAACAGTTGTTCTCTATTTCCGACAGTAATTTAGGTTTGTCAGCGCCCAACTATTTTGCTGGTCCCTCCCCTTTGCTACGAAGTGTAGGTATCGCACAAGATCATCTTTGCCTGACCTGACAGGTATTACTTTGTAGCGGGTGTATATTTACCCTCTACATGATTGGTGACGCCCACACGGCAAGTGGCGGTTGTGAAGTGTGAAGG